GCCGAAATTACAAGCAATGCTATTGAATAGTTACAAAAAAATACAACAACCTTTGTAGTTTTACAAACTGCGAGATAGTTTCACATGAGGGGAAATAAAAAGCCACATAAATCTTCAGAAAGGAAACCGAGTCAGAGTACTTTGTCGTATCAACCTTCTTATTCACTGATGAGGAGTGGTATGACTTTTGAAAAAATAAAATAAGAGAATAACCTAAAAACACAACACTGACCAGACCACAGAAACAGAAACTCCGACTCTTCCACGGTCCACGCACCTCAGCTTGTGCCCACATGTGCTACATTTAAACCCAAAAGCACGTTAGAAGCAGACACGGAGAAGGCAGAGTAAAGCCGTCGATTACTTTCTTTGGAGAACCTGATGCTTCTCAGAGGGGGGGGGGGGGCAGCTTATCTGTACTGGTAGTTCATGCTGCTGTCGCCCCGGCCGTAGCCCACTGGGTTGTTGTACTGGGAGTGGTTGGTGCCGAAGCCCTGGGTGTTGTTGGCGCCTCCGCCTCCGCCACCTCCGCCTCCCCCTCCTCCACCTCCCCCTCCTCCACTCTGTGAGTTGTAACTGGACGAGCTGTTGAAATCTGCAAGGAGAGTGTGTGATGATGTTAGAAAATTATCACTGGTCACCGGCTTGAGCTTCAATCTCAGGATCCATGTATTTGTGATCCTCTCCAGAATGGAAGTAGTCATCACACAGAGCATCAACTAGTTCCTGAACAGTGTCCTTCACATGCTGATATCCAAGAGAGGGAGTTACACAGTCACAAGATGGAGGAATAGAAAGCAGTATTCAATGTTTACTTCAGATTAGCTCCACGTCAGAAATGATCATGTTGTCATATGTCTATCTCCATAGAGGCTGAATCATCATGTTAATCACATAGCTATCATATGCCTCAAACAGTCCTGATGCTCTTCTAGGTAATCATACATCCTGTCATGTTCACAGCTACAGTTGGTATACCTTTGTTATCATGTGGACTCTGATATTGGAAGAGGACATTCAGTGTTTTCCAAACAATGTTATTACTTGTGATTTTGTTTGGGATCTTTTTAAAAGAAACATATTATAATAAATAAAATTCACAAATAAGTGACACATTTCACAATTAAAAGCATGGAAAATGTGCTTTTTGTCAAGGAAACACATCCCCTTACTTACCTTCATAGGTGTAGTCTTGGCTGCCGGCCCCCCCCGTCACCTGGCTGGGATACGCCGTGCTGTACGAGTACCCCCCGCCCCCCCCTGGCTCTGGTTGAAGCTCTTTTCCCCTGCCCATAGCCCTGGCTGTACTGGTTATAGGCTCCCTGTCCTGGGGGGCTGCTGGCCTGCTGGTACCCCTCTGCAGACCCACTGTTGGCCCCCGGAGGACCTGGGAACGCCGCCTTCCCTGCCTTGTGCATGGGGGGCTTCTTTTTGGGGGCTTTGGCGGCCGGAGAGGCAGTGTAGGCTCCGTCGTTCTGGTAGATGAACCGTAGGAGCTCTGAGCGGGGGGCTGCTGGCCTGAGGACCCCGGAGGAGGGGCTGTTCGATGTATCTCCTCCATTAGTGCCACCGTTGTTGTTGTTGTTGTAGTAACCTGGGAAATAACAACATGGCACAAAGGTCACCTATTATGCAAAATCCACTTTTCATGTCTCTTCTACATCAACATGTGTCCCCTCTTCCTCATGTCTCTTCTACATCAACATGTGTCCCCTCTTCTTCATGTCTCTTCTACATCAACATGTGTCCCCTCTTCTTCATGTCTCTTCTACATCAACATGTGTCCCTCTTCTTCATGTCTCTTCTACATCAACATGTGTCCCCTCTTCTTCATGTCTCTTCTACATCAACATGTGTCCCCTCTTCTTCATGTCTCTTCTACATCAACATGTGTCCCCTCTTCTTCATGTCTCTTCTACATCAACATGTGTCCCCTCTTCTTCATGTCTCTTCTACATCAACATGTGTCCCCTCTTCTTCATTTCTCTTCTACATCAACATGTGTCCCTCTTCTTCTTCATGTCTCTTCTACATCAACATGTGTCCCTTCTTCTTCATGTCTCTTCTACATCAACATGTGTCCCTTCTTCTTCATGTCTCTTCTACATCAACATGTGTCCCCTCTTCTTCATGTCTCTTCTACATCAACATGTGTCCCCTCTCTTCATGTCTCTTCTACATCAACATGTGTCCCCTCTTCTTCATGTCTCTTCTACATCAACATGTGTCCCCTCTGTGGAAAGAGACTCTGAAAGTTTCAGGAACAAAGATTCTCTCTCTTTTTGTCCTGATCCATTTCCATAAAAACCTGTCTGAAAATGAGCTGATCAGATTTTGGCCACTTTGTGATGTCATAACGATGTGTTGGCTTGTGTAACCATTAGCCAATCAGCAACCAAGGTACCCCCGCCCGCTTATCACCTGAATCTCCTCCTAGAGCACCATTGAGTTCTTTTTAACCAAATCTCTCTCAGAGGGGCGTGGGGAGGGGCTCCTTATTTTCATCTAAAGTAACAGACAGAGAATCAGCACTTTGGAAACAGGGCTGAAACAGAGGCGATTATGGGATGCTGCAATGATCTGTTTGGTGTTTCAGCCAATCAGAGACAGGCTCTGGATATATCTGAGACCTGTGATATATTGATGAAAAACAGTGTAATAGGGGACCTTTAAAATGGGCATTAAGTAACAGCAAGGGCTCCCTCTATAAAAGGCTAATGGGATTTTTCTAGGGATGTCCCGATCACCTTTTTTTGCTCCCGATCCGATTCCGATCATTTGATTTTGACAATCTGCCGATACCGATTTTTCCCGATCCGATCTTTATGCAATGCATTAAGAGGAAAAAAAAGGTAACAGATAACGGCTGGTCATCCAACGAGATGAATTCAGCTACTTGGCTGTTATTTTTTGGCCTTTTCACTGTTCTGGGCAGTTTCTCTTTCCTTTTAAAAGTCTCTGAAAGTGTTGGTTGTTTCAGTGCCGTTACCTGAGTGGCCGCTGTGTACTCGTCGTGTTGTTGTTGGTGGTGTTTGTATTAGATTGGTCATGTTGAACGTAGCTCTGTTCTTTCCACCACGCGGAACCTCCGCCTTGCAAACATTGCATCTGGCTGTTACACTGCCTTCGCTTTCAATTTTATAATACTTCCAAACTCCTGACATTTCTCTGTCCCGACTCCCGAGGCACCAGCTGAACGTAACCTCTTGTTAGCTTACTGCTACTATTAGACACTGCGCCACTGTTGCCAGATTTGAGAGAATAAGCAACCAGGTCGATGAAAACAAGCCCAAAAGAAGCAACACATACATGATGTTGTGTAATTTTAACCCAAAACTAAGGCCTCAGGATGACTTTAAGACGGAACATGGTCATTTTTGTTTTGTAACATTAAATAAAATGTATAAAAATATTTTATAAAAAAAAAAAAAAAAAAAAAAAATTCCGATCCCCGATTTTTTTCTCCCGATCCCCGATCACGTGAAAATCACGTGATCGGCTCCGATCCCCGATCACGTGATCGGATCGGGACATCCCTAGATTTTTCCATTTTTTTTGGAATATTGCAGAAAATAAGATCTGTGGCAAACAAACGTTTATTCTTACACGTTCTGTTCTGCAGGATAAATCAATGTTCAAGGCTTTTATTGTCATGTGTACATAGCTACAGTGTAGTTATGACAATGAAAATCTTCGGTCACAGACTCCTCCAACAGAGCAACACAATATAACAGATAATACTGCAAGTAAATACAAAAAATAATAGAAATGGTGCAGAATAGTCTATATAATCTCCACATATTAAGCATAAATCCAGAAGTAAAAAGCTAACGTTAGGCTGTACAGGAACTACAGCAAGATCACAAGAGTTCCCGTCACCACCGCTAAGCTAAAGGCGGCTAATTTTGGCGTGGCGATGTTTACTAGTCACATTTAGCCTCTTGTTAGCAACTGCTATTTTTAAGACACATAGAAGCTACAGACATTCACCGGTGGGTATTTAATAATCGTTTTAATGTCTTAGAACAAATCGTTTAACTATCTTCAGCTTGTGTTAACCACAGATCTAATTTCAGGCTTCTTCTAACCAACAATTATTTTAAGAAATTCCATTGATTTGGAGACAAGGTAATACGCTAGCTTATAGGAATCATTATTTCACCACTGTATACAATCTGGGCAACACACACACTTGTCATAAATTAAAAGAGACCTGGAGTAAACACACGTATGAATGGTGACATCACATTTATTAAAAAAAACATAGACATGTAAAAAACAGCCAAAGCAAGAAGTCTTCCTTTCTCAAACATTTCACGATTCAGCAACAGTTTCTCTGTGTGTGTGTGTGTGTGTAAACTTAGAGCCAACAGTTCATTTCCCACTGCTGTTATAGAGGAACTACCAAACACTGCCTAATAAGACCACCATGCAGTCAGTGGAGCCGCGATATGACACAGAAACAGCAGATTCTATACAAACCATGTGGCCTTTCTTTTCAATAGCAAAAAAACAGAAACAAAAAATAAAACCATCTCAGTCTTGATTGGAAGTGAGAGAAAGGTAGTCGATTGAAATAAAAACAAGTCATGATTAGGGCGGCACAATAAATTCGAAGTGTTATCGCATTTGGACTAGTGCCATATAGAAACGGCAGTAAGCGCAATATTTGGTGAATAGGTACAAATATATGAAGTATTGTTGTGTTGCAGGACTACAAACAGTATTCTACAGATCTAAAAAAAATCCTTGTTTGGCACGTAATCATTACACCATGATGGTTCAAAAGTGATCATTCCTTCACACAATTGGTCAAAATCAGTCATCTTTTCATAATCGTGCAGCCCTAGTCATGTTTCCCCAGTATTCTGGTATTAGTAAACAGTATAGAGACAGTGTTGCAGTCTTGACAATAATCCAAAAGGCAGTGTGATGTTGTCCAGTAGGCCTTCACGTAATCATGATCCAAATGAAGAGAAAGCTTTGACCCCAAGCCTACACAGACGCCCCGTGCCCAGGCCTACACATCAACAATAACTCTGCCGTTCAGTGGGGTCCGGTGACATCCACAGACTTATGTCTACATGCATGCAGTGGCAGGAAGTCTCCCCGAAGGACATGATTGGGCGGAGGAGTTGTCGTGTCGCTTTAATCCCAGGATGAGGACTTGGTGGTGAAGGGAGTTCATGATGCTGCTGGAACACGACTGAGAAATGTGTCCTTTTTTTTTTTACGCTCTCTCTACAGGACTGTTTTTTGGTTTTTCTAAGACTGGGGACGATTTATGTCGCAAACTCGTGGTAGCCATAGCAGTCTGAGACAAAGTCACCTAAAGAGTGAGACAGGGCAGAGAAGGGGAAAAAAATTAGATTGTTTATTTGGATTGTTTTTTTATCTGCTCAAAGGAGGCAGTTGAATGACTCATTGGGTCAGATTTCTTTTAGGTTTTTATTTTTTTAGATTTCTCTGCTCCCGTCACGCTCAGGTAGGTCAGTCCTCAGAGGAAAAAAAGGGCTTCTCTTAAGAGGTCGGCTTGTCAAAAAACAGATTCAATCCTGTGGCTTAAAGCAGAGAAATGTAAAATCATCCAACTGGGAACATCCCGACATATTTAAACATTATATATTCTTGTTTCCTGGAGTTTCTATAATAGGCAAAAATCCCTAGTTAACCCTTCGATGCACGAGTGACTGGACCCTACACTCTTCCATAAGTGGGTCAAAAAGGACCCGTAAAGAAAAAATACGTTTTCCCATAGGATCCCATAGAAAATGCATGCGGGTCATTTTTGACCCACTTATGGAAGCTTGGGGTAGCAATACAAAAACTACTATTTCTTTGAATGGCATGATATCCAAAACATGTTTTGAGGAATAGCTGGAATATGAAATGATAAAAAAAAAAATGTAATTACAAAGATACTTCAAGAAAACCACCTCACCGGGTCAAAAAGACCCACTTATGCATCTAAGGGTTAAATCAATAAAACACATTAGAGCCCTGACCCGTGACACAACATATTTCCAACTTGACCATTTTACATTAATAACCACGTGATAGATAGTAAGTTAAAGTGCTCATCAAACCTTTTCATCTTATGCCACAAAGTGCTTATATGTTTAGAACTCAGTGTAAACTAGTCACTGTAAATGATCAAATAGTAAACACTTCATGGTGTTTCGCTGGTAGCTTTTAATAGTCCATCTATGGAACATTTGAGTTCCTTCAAGGCAGACTCAATAACTTCCTTGGTCTCAACAAAAAGAAGTGTTGCAGTGTCAGTGCAGTCTCTTTTCTTAAGTCCTGATGAACTCGCCTTCTTCACAGCTTTCCTTAACCTCATGGCCTTTTTCACTGAGGTTAAGAAAATACATGATTCTTTTTTTGACCATGTGGCCAAGCAGCAACCCTAAACATGCAGTAAAACCAGGATTAAAAGGAATACTCACTGTATCCGGAGTTGGCATTGTTCCCGTACCCGTATGATCCGAAGCCACCTAGCGGGAGGAAAGACATTTAATACGCTGTATAATCACTAAAGTATAAGAAACTTCTGCTCGTCTTTAAGATAAGATAAGACTTTATTCATCCCGAAGGAAATCGCTGTGCCAGAGTTACAAAAATACAATAATCCCAGCAGCAGCATAATAATAAAACTGTACACTAACAGGGCTATTCAATTAGTTTGGAATGGGGCCGGTTGATGAAAATGATCCAAAGCAAGGGGCCAGGAAAAAGATGGCTTGAAATATGAGCAATCATATTAAGAGCTTCAGATACAGTTCATACTACAACAGCATAGTGGAGTGCATATATTGTGTTTCATTAATCAAACAACATAGCCCCAAGGCCTTTCGAGATCTAAATGGCAAGTTCAGAACTCAGTACATGTGAAGCTGATTTAACCATCAACATCATTTGATTTCATTTAGGTGAAATGATCTAATCATTCACGCAGAGATGCAATAAATGTCAGGAGTTGTCACTACAGTAGCTAGTAGGTGGGTTCGAAACCCGAGCCTGCAGAAGTTTTCAGGCAGTGTCTTCCCCTCTATCTCTCAATTTGTTTACCTCCTTGGCCGTAGCCTCCTCCATTATTGAAGCCCCTTCCTCGTCCTCTGCCTCCTCTTCCTCTCCCTCGGCCCCTGGGCGGAGCAGCATCTCCGGCCCCCGAGGCTCCCATGATGCCAAAACCTGGAGTGTGCTGAAGAGGAAAGACATTGTTCATTAGAAGAGGCAATATCCACCCTTATTTAACCTAATGACCAGAGATGGCAAAAGTACACACATCCTTTACTCAAGTAGAAGTACAGCAGAGGTGGGAAGTAGTGGAGTACAAATACTTTGTTTCTGTACTTAAGTCAATTTTTCTGGTATCAGTACTTTACTTGTTTTTCTGACGACTTTTTACTTTGACTTCTTACATTTTGAACACAAATACCTGTACTTTCTACTTCTTACATTTTGAACACAAATACCTGTACTTTCTACTTCTTACATTTTGAACACAAATACCTGTACTTTCTACTTCTTACATGTTGAACACAAATACCTGTACTTTCTACTTCTTACATGTTGAACACAAATACCTGTACTTTCTACTTCTTACATGTTGAACACAAATACCTGTACTTTCTACTTCTTACATTTTCCAAACAGGCTGGTTCCTTTAGTTTGAATGTGTGTTTGGTGGCGTGATCATTATTATTTAGAGTCATTGCGTGCCTATTGATTTGAACACGATCCGTGTATCCATCATTTCCTGCTCTTCTCTAAAGAAGAGGGACCAATGAAAACGTTGTCATGTTGCCGTTGTTCAGCATGGAAACATTCATTAGCTAACAATGACATTATTGTTCTATTAATATAAAGGGAGGTCAGCTACTCTTTAACCCTTGGATGCACGAGTGACTGGCCCCTACACTCTTCCATAAGTGGGTCAAAAAGGACCCGTAAGGCAAGGCAAGGCAAGTTTATTTATATAGCACCTTTCAACACAAGGCAATTCAAAGTGCTTTACAAAAATGGAAGACATTATGAAAATGGCATTTAAAAACAGTCATTAAAAGAAAAGATAATAAATAAACATTAAAAAAAAAAAAAAAAATACATGGATAAAAGTTAAAAGTTACAGTGCAGTTTAAGATGTGAATAGTTCAATTAAAAGCAGCGGCAAAAAGAAAAGTCTTCAGCCTGGATTTAAAAGTAGTAAGAGTTGCAGCGGACCTGCAGGTTTCTGGGAGTTTGTTCCAGATATTTGGAGCATAATAACTGAACGCTGCTTCTCCATGTTTAGTTCTGACTCTGGGGACAGAAAGCTGACCAGTCCCTGAAGACCTGAGAGATCTGGATGGTTCATAATTTAGCAGTAGGTCAGACATGTATTTTGGGCCTAAACCATTCAAAGCTTTATAAACCAGCAGCAGTATTTTGAAATCTATTCTTTGACACACAGGAAGCCAGTGTAAAGACTTCAGAACAGGAGTGATGTGATCCACTTTCTTAGTGTTAGTGAGGACTCGAGCAGCGGCGTTCTGAATTAGCTGCAGCTTTCTAATAGATTTTTTAGTGAGACCTGTGAAGACACCATTACAGTAGTCCAGTCTACTGAAGATAAAAGCATGGACAAGTTTTTCCAAATCCTGCTGTGACATTAGTCTTTTAATCCTAGATATGTTCTTTAGGTGATAGTAGGCTGATTTAGTAACTGTTTTAATGTGACTGTTGAAACTCAGGTCAGAGTCCATGACTACACCTAGATTTCTGGCTTTATCTGTTGTTTTGAACATTGCAGACTGAAGCTCAGCGCTAACTTTTATACGTTCTGCCTTGGCTCCAAAAACCATTACCCCAGTTTTATCTTTGTTTAATTGGAGAAAGTTCTGACACATCCAGTCATTGATTTGTTCAATGCACTTACTCAGTGTTTGAATTGGAGCATAATCTCCTGGTGAAATTGTTACGTAAATGTGTGTGTCATCCGCATAGCTATGGTAACTTATTTTGTTGTTTTTCATTATCTGAGCCAGTGGTAGCATGTAGATGTTAAAGAGAAGAGGCCCCAAGATGGAGCCTTGAGGTACCCCACATGTCATAACTGTCAACTCAGATGTGTATTTACCTATAGAAACAACGTTTTTTTCTGTCCTTTAAGTAGGACTCAAACCAATTTAGAACTGTTGCCGAAAGTCCCACCCAGTTTTCTAGTCGGTCTAGTAATATGTTGTGGTCAACAGTATCAAACGCAGCACTGAGATCTAATAATACTAACACTGACGTTCTGCCACTGTCTGTGTTTAAGTGGATGTCATTGAAGACCTTTACAAGAGCAGTCTCAGTGCTGTGGTTTGGACGAAAGCCTGACTGGAACACATCCAAAGAGTTATTTAAATGCAAGAAGTTACTCAACTGTTGAAAAACTACTTTTTCAATGATTTTACCTAGAAATGGCAGGTTTGATATTGGCCTGTAATTGTTCATTACTGAAGCATCTAGATTATTCTTTTTTAAGAGCAGTTTAATGACTGCAGTTTTCAGGGCCTCTGGAAAAATACCTGAGTGAAGAGATGTGTTTACTATATGAAGTAGATCTAAGGCCATGCAAGGAAAAACATCTTTGAAAAATCCTGTTGGAATAATATCAAGGCAGCAGGAGGAGGATTTCAGAAGTTGAATAATGTCCTCTAAGTTTTTACCATTAATCTGATGGAATTGTGTCATGGTGTTTGAATTGATATTAGGTGGACATAGGGACAACACATTTGCTGTACCTGATGCAGAGGCACTGACTGCTTGTCTAATTTTCCGTATTAGAATAATATGTGTTTTTATGCCATTTTTGTCATTTTGGTTAAGAAATATCACTTTTATAATATTTAGTATTATATTTGGGTTCACACTAGAAATATTGTATATTTAATTTTTCACTATTTATAATATTAGGGAGAAAAAAAAATTACATTTTGAAAAAAAACTAAATTCCATAGAAAATGCATGCGGGTCATTTTTGACCCACTTATGGAAGCTTGGGGTAGTAATACAAAAACTACAATTTCCCAACTTGTAATACTTTTTAAGACCCCGCGGACACCCTGTTGAAACTTGAAATATTAAACAATACAAACCATGTAATATATTATTATTACCCATATTTTGATTTAGAAATTCCACCTTGATGTTATTTCTGTTTTCCAGGGAGCTTACCATTGGTGGTCCTTTTTCTTTTTAGCAGCCTCGCCATAGCGCCCTCTGGGAAGAGCCGCTCCAGAGCAGCCAGAGCAGCGTAGGCCTTTGCCACCTTTGTATTGGACCCGGTGCCCTGGAACTTCTGCCGTCGATGTCCACCTCCATGACGAAGCGTTTATCGTGGCTTCCTCCCGTCTCACGAGATGAGTTTCCGTATTTCAGGGCCGCGGCGCTTCTCGTTCAGCTCCATCACGGGGTTTTTCCCGTGTTTAGTGAGTATTGGTCCCTGTTGGCGAGCAGTCTGACAGTTTAGAAACCAGGTCAGTCACATGTTGTGCACACCCCCCCCCCCCCCAGAAGAAGCCCCTCTTCATGCCCACAGTGGTGTACCTCTACAGCTTCACTGCCCGTCTGCGTTGGCGGCTGTTGGGGAAGAGCTGGGAGCTTCGATGGGCGTTATCACCGGCTTCACTTCCTCCACAGTGACCGCTACGACCGCCTCCTCCGATTTTATCGACTCAGTCTTTACTTCCACTCCTGTGGGCAGGCCCATGTCCTGGAGGACCTGCGATACACACGTTCATTTTGGTTAAAATGTCCCCTATATACTGTTTTTCATCAATATATTACAGGTCTCAGATATATCCAGAACCTGTCTCTGATTGGCTGACAAACCACAAAAGATCATTGCAGCATCCCATAATCCCCTCTGTTTCAGCCCCGTTTCAAAAGTGCTGATTCTCTGTCTGTTTAATTTAGATGAAAATAAGGAGCCACTCCCACGCCCCTCTGAGAAATATTTGGTTAAAAATAACACATTAGCCGCTTTCACACCAAGTACTTTGCCGTACTTAGTGCCAGCACTTAGTACCCCCATGGAACTTAGTACAGATCGCGTTCACACCGGAATAAAGTTTCCCCTGAGGGAAGATTACGCAAATGAAGCCGCTGGCTGACGTCACTTTCTTCTCTTCTTTGGGTTTACTGGCAGGGCGCAAACACTTCACGGCGTAATACTGCCACACCGAAGTCCCCGGCCGGAAGTCCCCGGAATTGGGGGACTGGCTTCTGTAGAAGCTTGCTTCTACTGAAGCCTTCCGAGTAAATCGCCAGAACGCCGACACCTCATCACTCCACCGCCCCCATGTTTTTTTTTGTGTTGCCATAAGTTATTCTCTCTCCGTTGGTGCGCGGGGCTAATGCTAATGCTAATAATGCCAGCAAATACAAATGGCCGGCTTCAGCAAAACTTTTCAGAGTTTTATGGGGCGTGGTTGCAATTCGCCCAGCCAATCAGAAATTGTTTACTTTTTTCCTCCCCAGGATAGTCCCACCCAGGGGCGTCGCCTGGACCTGAAAACATTCAGGGCTTAGCCCACAGTGGCGGCGGCACTACAGTGGCATTTTTTACTGCAACACTCCCCACACGCACACACACAGTACACCCGCGACTGTTACAATGAAGGCTCGATAATTCAGCTCACGGCAATATGGCAGGGGTAAAGTGGTATTTTTTATGAGTGGGGGGCTCCACCTCCTCGAGGGGGGTCCGGGGGGCTCCCCCAGGAAGATTTTTTTTTAAATATTGAAGTTAGATGCATCAATCTGGTGCACTTTGAGAGCAAAATGAAGAGATCTATGGATACCTCTCTCAACACCCATATGAAGCAGAACTGTAAACAGATGTACTTTTTCTTTATGGATATTTTACAAATCACTCCCTTTTTAAACTCTATTCTTGTTTTACTGCCATATAGTATTTCATAACTGTTTTTCCTTTATTCTCTTATTTTTTTTATAAACTATAATGATCATATGAAGGTGTGCCGCGGAAATAATCTTTTGAATAATTTGTGACCAAACCGTTGAGACCCACTGAGATAACTTAGACTAAAGTTAAGTATCTAAACACTCAGAGAGTCCTTTAGCTCACCTGAGTCTCTCAGTCTGAGAGGAGAGGACTCTCCTCCAGCTTCTTGTGGAACAAACAGCTCCTTATGTCCGTTAGTGCAGCTAGCTAACCAGATGCTAACAACACGGTCCATGCTGGCATGGTCCCTCCCTCTCACATGCGCTATTGCCACACACACACACACACACACACAGAGCCGAGCTTGAATGACACAAGCACACACGTTTATTTCCATGCAACTCTCTGATTGGTCTGGTGTCATGCCTCTGTTGCATTCACTGAACACGGGAAATTACAGTGCTGCCGTCCTCTCTTGTGTCATGATGAGGTTCACGTAAAGCACGGTTAATGTATTATATTATTGAGGGAGAATTGTCCGGGGCTACAGAAAAAACATTCGGGGCCAAAGCCCCGGATGCCCAGGCCAGGCGACGCCACTGGTCCCACCTCTCTTGCAGGCACTAGAAATGGGGGTTAAAAGTTCTCGGAACTAAGTTCTCTTTTTGGTGTGAACGCAAAATTCCAGGCACTATCTGAACTAAACGGGAAAAGTAAGTACTCCGGTGTGAACGCGCCTAATGGTGCTCTAGGAGGAGATTCAGGTGATAAGGTGGGGGGGGAGTTACCTTGGTTGGTGATTGGCTAATGGTACACAAGCCAAAAAATCATTGAAAAACATGTTGATGTAGAAAAGACATTAAAAAGTGGATTTTGCATAATAGGTGACATTTAAAATAATTCGGCAACAATGCACAGATTAATAAGCATTATCCTAAAGCCCGTATTGCACAGTTCAATAGGGTTTATTGAGTGCTCACCTTTACAGCTACATGCAGCTTGGCGGTGCGTTTAGATGGCCCAGAAGCCTCGAAGTTTCTTTCCGTCCACTTCTACAGCCATCGTGAAGACGGGAGAACATGGACCGGGCCGGTCTGAGAGATCAGTTTGTACTGCAGACCCGGCTTCAGCTGGTTGAGCCTCATCAGAGCATTCATAGCCTGGGGAGGCTCGGCCTTCTCCTCTGGAGCTGAGGGAACAGCAGGATGTAAAGTTCATTTAATAATAGGCAGAAGCAAACAGATACATGTTGGCAGGATAATCCGTTAACAACCACATTTTCCTCCCTAAAGAGAACTTTATAAGACTCATTTGATAGAGGGATGGTTGGTAAGATGCGCTCTGAACAAATACAGGAGCTAAAATGGCACTTACATTTCTTCTGCAGCTTTTTCTTTCTTCTTATTTGGACTCTTGTCATCAATTCCCTCCTCCTCTTCCTCAATGGGCCTTTTCATGGTGGAGCGTACGCCGTGCTGGGTGGGATTTGAACTTGCAAGATACACACGGGCACAAAATGATAAGACCATAAGAACAGCACACCACACTTAACTGCGTTGCATTTTTACTGTACATTTAAGAAAATATATAACCAACCATCTTTACCTGTGTAATCAATAGGTGTCTCACTACGGGGGTTTTCTTGGGCATCTTTGAGGGGAGGGGGTCCATGCCAAGCACTTTGTGAAGCTGTCCGAAAGCTGACAGCCTTAAGGCATGCTGAACATACAAGAGATGGTGTCAATTACACATTTATTATCATGTAAATGTGCACAAACAGCTCTATCTCACTCACTTGTGCGCTCGCTGTGATGTCTTCTCTCTGCTGCCGGTCCAAGTGGCCGATAGCGTCTGTGGGTTCTTTCTCACATGGATCAGAGATTCCAGCGCCTTCTGGAACACAGGGAAGCGACTGAATGGCCGAGCACTTAGAAGAAAAAAAACTGCCACTTAAAAGCACATTAAATATAATCCATGCATACCTGACATGAGGATTCCTGAAGCCAGACACTCTAAAACTCTCCGGAGAGCTTCTCCTGCCCCCATGGGTCGGTTCCCGGTGCCAATAGCTTCTCAACAGATCAGCTCCAGTGGCTGCAAAGAAGGCCAGAGAGAGGGGATATGAGGACAACGTTTTTAAGACACTAATGGCACATTTCCACTGCAGTGCGTAGCACGGTTTAAGCGTGCCCGTGCCAAACCTGGCCCGTTTTTTTTGTTGCGTTTCCACTAGGGGTAGTTCCGGCTAGCGGGTACCTTTTTCACAGGTTTTTCTGGCTCTCCAACATCCAGGTTCTTTCCGGGCCAACAACCGGGCTGAATATGCTAAACTAGTGAGAGAATCGCTGGCAAGGGGGCTACAACTACAACACAATGAATATATTTTACCGTGATTTAATTGTAATATAAGTTTCAAAATTATGCCGAAGTAACAACATACTGCAGTGTTTCCCCTATATACAAATAGTGGCGGCGCAGCACCGGTGCTGAAATATGCACGCCAGCCAGGTACCCAAAAAAATTAAATAATAATAAATATTTTTTTTTTAACTTTTTTTTTTTTTTATTAAAATAATAATAAGTGGCGACCCTTTTCATTTTTGATTGTTTGTTATGTGGATTTGTAGTATTTGTGTTACCGTATGTTCAATAAAGGTGTATTTTTGCTAAATCTTGAGACATTGCCACTGTATGTACTTGGCATAGGCGGTCGCCTAGGGCGCCAGATCTGGGGGGCGCTGCGCTGGTAGCTCTGGGAGGGGAAAAAACATTTTGACCGTTGGCGCTCATCCTAATTTTTCGGCCTTGATGCAACAACATTCATAATTAAGTAACTGTAACATCTTTTTAAACCCGGTTACACTTTTCATTTGCCCTGTACGATGGGCGCTGTAAGTGATAAAAGTGGGGGATGTTGGCTTCATCAGGCAACCCAGCAGCTCACAGCCAAGTGCGAGCGAGAGAGCGAGCGAGGGACAGAGAGAGAGGGCGCACCGGTACCGGCGCTGTTGTTATTAGAATCTGGTGCTCGCTGCGCTAACGGATATAAGAAGTAGATGTTTCTACAACCAGGGTGGAGGAGAGCTCTCCTGTCAGACTGAGAGGCTCAGTGAGGTAAAGGACTCTCTGAGTGTTTAGATAGTTAATTTTAGTCTAAGTTATCTCAGTGGGTCTCAAACGTTTTGACCACAATTATGTAAACACATATTTCCAAGGCACTCCTTTATAATTATTAGGATAAATAAAAACAGGTTTGAAATCATTCCAGTGTATACTACAGGACAGTAAACCAAAAATATTTGTAAAGTTGGAGAGAGATACAAAAATATGCATAAATAAATAAATGTTAACTAGGTAAAATAAGATATGAATGAACAACAAAAATAAAAATAAGTTACATTTATTTGTTATTGGCTCTGGTAGGTTATTGGTTATGTTCACATACTTATTTGATTGTTAAAATGTAAACCGATCTTTTTCATATGGGTGTTTTAGAGTTGTACCCCCTAGATCAGGTCTCTAGTAATTGTGTGCTCAAAGTGCACCAGATTGAAGCATTTTACTTTAAAATGTTCAAAAAAATCTTCCCGGGGGAACATACCCCCGGACCCCCCTAGAGGATGTGACATCCACCCCCCAATTCAAACATGTTCATACAATACTGAATACATGTTGACGTATATTACCTATGTCAATAAGTTTCTGTTTTTGTAGTGTATTTGTCTTTTGTAGAGATTTTTCATTTATTCTTTATATATAAAATCTCGCCTAGGGCAGCAAATTGTCTGGAACCGGCCCTGGTACTACAGTAGGCCTAAAGAGCCTTTCTTGTGCTGGCAGACACATAGAAACAAATTGGTGGGGCGCACTTCGCACGTGCACACACTAAAAAATGTCACACGCTCCACGCTCACATTATGCTGGGCCCACGTGCCTTAGCACCGCTGCTATGACTCCATCCTAGGGGAAACACTGGAACTGATACCGGTTAGTAAAAACCATGAATTAATGCTTTGACAAGTCTGCAGACAGACGGCAGGCGAAAAGCCTTTTAAAATGTGTGTCGTCTAAATGGAGATCGGCTAAGCTAACGCAGTATATGCTCCGACCGTCCACACTCACAACAACGGCCTACAGACATAAATAAACCAGCGACTGTATTCGCCATGACACAGACAGTCTGTGGTTTGTACTCGTTTAACTTTTGTCTAGTTTCTGAACAGATATGAGGAGCTGTGAGCTCTGAGTGCTAACAGCTAACGGCTGGTGTTGGTTTTGTGTTTCGCATTGAAGATGACGTCACGGCTCCGCCTACACTGCGTTACTATAGTTACTACCCCAGTTCCTAAATTGTAATGGAAACGCAGCATAAAGTGAGGCTGGCCTACCAAGGCCTAGCCATACCGTACTAAGCCGTGCGAGGCCCTGCAGTGGAAATGCGCCATAACAGAGAGATATAGGGCGACTGCGTTAGATCGGATCTCTGCTACATAACGCCTGTAATGGCATCGTCTTTTTTGTAACCAGGCAGAAAAGGTATCCCAAACATTTAATTCAAGAAGATTTAAGAATTATAGTAATAAGTAATTATAATTAATGAAAGATAAAAAGTTAAGTGCCAGAATATTATATGTATATTCCAGCTAATATACATATGTTTGGTTTAGTTTTGCCTGTCTGTTCTCTGTAGCAACCACAACGTAGAGGATCGTTTTTTGTTTCTTATTTATTGGCAGCGCCTCAAAAGTAATTTGAATCACCAGCCAGTAGCTTGCTGTTAGTTTAGCAAGCACTTGTATGTTCTTTCCCACTATGACTATGTATGTCTTTAAGTATGCTATTCCCGTCATGCTGTGTTTTTTCTTTATTATTTCTTGTTGACTATTCTGTTTTTCTTCCATGTTGAAAAAGGGAAGCATCATTTCCACCCCAAAGAAGTCTGTACTATTGCTTACACTTGTATGCTTCTTCTCAATACAAATATTTGAAACAGTTTAGCAAGCGCTTGAGTTGGAGTTTTCTATGAGTGGAGCACGGATTGTTAAAAACGCCAATATCCTTGATTTAATTTCGGGAAGCTCAAATTGTAAAACCCTACCTACTACATACAGGGTTCCTGCAGGTTTCATCAACTCAAATGTAAGACTTTTTAAGACCACTTTGAATAGAATTTAAGACCTATTTCACGGCAAGAAAGTATGAAGGAAAATTGCTATGAAAGAAGAAATACGTCCCATAATTACTTACAAAGTAAATGTATTCATGTTCAACATAAGAACGATGACTGAACATAACAGCATAACAGTACACAGAACTGGTTCGATCCCAGCCCGTGAAGTCAATATGTCCTTGGGCAAGATACTGGGTGTTTCTCAATCGCGAGTAAAGCTGCTCCAGAGCCACTATTTCAAGCATACTACGTCATCGAGTGCCGCCGAAGTACTGTTCCAATCTCCAGTATACTTGGAAATCTACCGAGCCCGGCGTACTCCGTTTGGAGAAATATCGAGTGTGCACATGAGTAGACTTCGCGGCCTTAAAATCCCCACAATGCTTTGCGCACGGACCAATTTCCCCAAATCTGTGGCGGAAGATGTAAGGCGGGGCCTCTCATATGACACACACCTGCACACTTGCTAGCCTGTTCCACTCTTTGTTTTCCGAATGCCAGTTAGTATTCTTGACTCGCTTCTGAAGCAAGTGACTCGGCAGACATGTGCTACCAAGCAAGCGTACTCGCGATTGAGAAACACCCACAGAATCATGAGTTGCTCCCGATGGATAACGGTGTGTGTGTGTGTGTGTGTGTGTGTGTGTGAGAGAGAGTGACAAGAGCTATATTCAGAGCTCTGCTGCCTTGGCTACAATATTTCATCGTTGCTGTTGTATGATTGGTGTTTAGCTACGGTATTTAGCGTCCACAGCCCCTCCGCTTTTAGGGTTGACGTAGACCCAAACGTCGCCCGGAGGTCCCCCGATGTTGTTGCGGGAGCTAACGCTACATTAGCAAAACAAACGCTATTTTTTGTGTGCAAAAGGTGCAGCGGGCTTCAAACACGTTCCCCTCCACTGGTTTCAACCCAGGACTACATTTGATGTTTTCCAACCAAATACGGTTGAACTTAAACTTCCCCATATTTATTTGTAAGTAGATTCGAAGATACCTAATTTCTGACTGCCGCTAGCTGAAGCTTGGTTGCTAGGTTACTAGCTGCAGCCCGGACATTTCCCCCAAAACACATTAAGACGCGATCGCAACACAGAAGTACCTTTCAAATCCGATCATTTTTAAGACCTGCTAAATCATATTTAAGACCTTTCTTATTTTGTTGATCATATTTAAGACTTTTTAAGGCCTTCAATTCCGATTATCAAATGTAAGACTTTTTAAGACCCCACGGGAACCCTGTACATATGCAACAGTTCTCAGAAACCACAGTCTAACTCTGTGATGCACTCGCTCTTGTGTGTTAGGCTCCAAGGAGGATGCTTCTCTCTCACCCAGCCACGGAGCGGGGCCCATGTGGGAACTCGAGCACAAAGATCCCTCAGGGTCCGGATGACGATGACGCAGGAGCGCAGCCCGTTAGCTCTGGCCTGGAGACACAAGCAGGGAGGGGGAGGAGAAGCAAACTGAGTCAAAGAGGAAGACGTGGGAGGCCTGAAGCAACACAGATAATGAATCAAAGTAAATAAAAAGGAAGCCACACAGACTAAAGCAGCTTAGCTTTGTCATTATGGAAATATAGGATACAAAGAACCTACTTTTGATTATTTATGACTGTAAGTCAATAGCCAACATGATTGATGGGGTTATTATTAGATAAGACATTTCCTTTTGTGTTGCAAAACATGCTTTAATTCAGAGAAATGTGTAAATAACTTTATACCAGATTAAATGAGACATTTGAAGGGGTTAAGTCAGTGAAAAAGAAAAATACTCAAGGTGCAATATTCCTGTTGATTTGGTGGCACACAGAGGGACAGATAAAGCAGGAAAAGTCGAGACCACATACTCTACAAAAGCTGCAGAGATGGAGCGCTGATTGTTACCGTGAGAAAGCCGAAGATGACACGCCAAAATGAGTTATTATCTACAAAAAAAATTCAAATAAACAATCTCTCCAAAACGACAGAATGGTGCAGCAGTGCCCTGCAGGTAGCTTGTGAAAATAACAACAACAACTCACACCAACACGGACGTTAGAGAAATATTGCACCTGGATGCGTGGTGGATTAGTCCCAGATTTGTTTTGGATGATTGAGCTGTGAGGGAAACTCTAAAAAAGCAGCTTCTTCAAACATTTAAAAAAAAAAAACCTGTTACGTGAGCAACTCTACAGCAGTGTAATGAGAAAGGTTTCCTAAGAAACACACATCCAGATCGTCAAGTATTACTACAGGAAGTACACTTCAAAGGAGTAAATAAAAGGAAAAACATGGACAACGCCCAACTAAAGAAAAAAGACAAAAAAACAGCATAAAACAAAACTACTTCTGTTTTTTTTTTGTTGAGACAAATAAAGACAAGGTCCAAACCTGGAACCACTTAGCGTGGCGGAGAGACGCCAAGGCAGTTAGGCATTTCTGCCTGTCCAGAACATCCGGGGGATCGTTGACTGAATGCGATTCTATTGGCAGGTGGAATAAGAAGACAAGGTACAGTTTGACCAAGGGGAGTTCTGTCAGCCGGCCAGGGGGAACACAGGCAGCTTTCCCAAACCACAGGCAGGAGGGGGAAGGGGAGGGGGACCCCTCCAGTGCAGAACCAACGTCAATTTAATAGTTAGCCTTAAAACCCACAGGAACGACAGCGCTGTGAAGTGGGTCGTACTTAAAGTTAGCTTAAGTGCTAATTGGGTGTATAAAATAGGAGTTTGTCTCTCCGTGGTTACATTAAAAAAAGGTCTGCTTTTGGTTTCCTGGCGTTAACAGGAGGTGGAGCCCCTCCCCTTTGCCCATATACTGGGTACACTGCACTTTGCCCCTTCCGAGACAGAGAGCGGCCAGTTGGTCAAAGGTCCAGCGTCCCTAAAAGAATTGACAAACTAGAAGGCTTGACAGAGAGAATCAGAATTGGAACCACAGGCAGAAGTTATCAGATGCACAAAAACGTGGGTATTAAAACAAGTCCACACTGCAGCAAAACTGATGGCTTAAAAAAAATAAAAATAAAAAATAAAGACCCAATATGGGCATCACTGTTAGCACAGAGCTACAGATAAGGTCAAGGTTCAACACCTGCTAAACCCCCACAACTACTGGACATCTTTGTGGATTTTTATAAACATCACTGGGGGCGATCCCCTTGATTTTAGGTTCAGGAGAGTCCAAGTGTCCCTTGACATTATCTGTAACCCGGCACCTTCCCTGCTAACGAACACCAGAGACAGTCAACGGCCCACTGTTGGGTCTAACGCAGGGGTGTCAAACTCAAGGCCCGGGGGCCAAATCCGGCCCGCGACTTCATTTGATGTGGCCCCACAAGAGCTTGCAAAGAATATAATATGTTTATAATACGGTTACATGCTACTTTACAGAAGCACGTTGCCCATAAACTACATGTCCCACAATGCATCTCAAATTTGACATTTCTTCAAAATGTCACTTCTTTTTTAGTTTTTCCAGAATTTGGCTTTTCTTTTTAAATCATTTTGTGATATTCTCACTGAAGAGACTTGCAATTATTTGCCCTAGACTTCTGCTTTCAGACGTAGTTAATTATGGGGTTATTACCCTATCCCATAATAATCCAATGCAGAGGCAATAATGTAATATAATACATTATTTTATATATATTAAATATTTATGTATTTTTATATAGTCTTAAAGTTACAACCGGCCCTTTGAGTGCAACCATAATGCTGATGTGGCCCGTGATGAAACTGAGTTTGACACCCCTGATATAACGTCTGAGGAGTTTTCACCACGTTTTGCTTCTCATTTTTGCTGCAATGCAAACCGTTCATCATCAATGATAAGAACACATGCAAACAAAGTGGTCTCTCTTTGCTTTTTTTGGGTTAAATTCTCAGTAAGCCTTCATTTCATTGATGGGTGGTGAAGAGAAAAGCCTTTCAGTAAACTGCCTGCCCTATATACTGTATATTGGGCCATCAAAAATGTACAGTTACATCACATGGAACTACGAGAGAGTCTAGAGAGCTATAAGCATAGCAGAGTTTCGTTATGTGACGGTGCATTCATGTCCCCGAGCTCCATTGAAGGCCCAATAAACAATATCTATCTGAACTGGTTGACCCCCTGCTGGAGGAGGGGGGAGGGCCTGTGAAACACTGAGGCCCTCGGGGTGGAGCTTACCTCCGGTGGTCCCCTTCTCGATCTCCTCGCGGACCAGAGGGGAGGTCAGGTGGATGGTGAGGGTGAGGGGGGGCTCCTTCGTGTTCTTGACAACGATGCTGGCCTCACGGATGTGCTGAGTCATCAGGTACTTGTCTTCTGTGATCACCTGTGAGATTGCAAAGTGTTTAAGGAGCTACAAAACCTATGTTTGGGTTGAAAGGATTATTGTCTCATTAAAATTGGTTAGTGTATTACTTATAACCGGTTAGGGCTGTACCCTAATATTCGTTCGTTGAGTGCTATTAGGGTTTCAATTTCGTTATTTGGATATTCGTTTTTTTCAAATTGAATTTATTGAATGCCGTGAATAAACCGAAATACATGTGTTGAAGCGGTTCGCTGATGATTACTACGCACCCCCCCTCGCGCGGGCCGAATATTCGCTGCTGATTACTGCCGAATATCCGGAGCCCAAAAAATGGTATTCGGGACAGCCCTATAACCTGTTGTAGTAAAATGAGGGGAAATGCCCTTAATGGTTTCCCAGGGTCAAAGTCAACTTCCAACTGCTTATTAAAGGAGAGGTGTCATGGCCATTTCCACTGATCATAATTCCATTGTTGAGGTCTATTAGAATAGATTTATACTGTGCATTTTTCCAAACTCACATTGGTTTCTCATACAGCATCTCTGTAAACTACGTGTATTCACTGAATTTCACTCTCTGCCTTTAACGGCTCGTTGTAGCTCCAATAGCTCCAGCCCCCACCCTCCCTGTGAGCACAGTGTGCTCTGATTGGTCGGGACGTTGTGAATCGCGCTGAGCTCCGTGGAGGTGTTGTTTCCTTGTTTAGGATACATAGCGAAACACAGCCAAACTCATCCTGAGCACACACAAAGTCACAGCCGAAGTAAAAACAATAAGTGTGGCTTGATATTGAGTAAGAAAAAGGTTGATAAACGCTGTGAGAATGGGTCTGCAGAGAGAATTTCGCCGCGATCCCAACTGTCTGTTATCAGCCTGCAGCCAGGGAGGAGAAATCAGCTGAGCTGCCTGCTCCCTGCACACAGATGTGTGTGTGAGGAAGTCCATGGATTGGTCAATTTGGACCAATCAGCGGGGGCTTAACGTAACGGCTCTGCCGACGTAACGTAACGGCTCCACGGATTGGTCCATTTCGTTCCGGGTACGGCTTGACATCATGCCGTACCCGGAAGAATCAAATGGACAATGACGTATCTCCAACGAGGCGTTTTGGGGAGGTATTTTCTCTGTTAGAGTTTTACTCGCTACAGGGTGTACTTTGAGGGTTTTGACTCTGCACACCGTTTACATGCATAAAAACCTTCATAACACACAAGGGGATGGGTAATAACCGGGAAAGCATGACACCTCTCCTTTAAAACCAATTATTATGTCTATAGGATCGAAAAGAACACATTACAAAGAATACAGCTTAACATAAAAACTGGTACCAAATATGATTTGATATTCAGATTATATAATGCAATCGCTATCATAGAAGACTTTGAAAAAAGGTAGGCAATTTTCACATGTGAGAAGCAGAAACAAGTACGTTCAAGAAGTTCCCGCAATGCATTACTTAAATATCGCATTCAAAAGAATTGGGCATACATCCAGACTGCTTTTTTTTCCTACCCTCAGATAATGATATCAGTATAAAATTAAAAACCCAATATCGGTCGGTCTCTAGTGAAATTGATATTGAATTATTCAGTGCATTGAATGAGCTGAACCGTGCACTTACCTTGAGCTGTGCGAGGAGGTTTTCAGAGACTTTCTTCAGCAGCATGATGGTGGGCTTCTCCTTACAGAGCAGCACCAGCTCCAGGTCCAGGTCCCCCTTCAGAAGCAGGCCTTTGGCCACCAGGCCGACTCTCATCACACCACGCAGAGAGCGGGTCGCCTGATCTCTGTGCTCACTGGCAAAAACACAGAGGAGGTCATTGTCGGAGGGGGGAGAAAAAAAAAAATCACCCAAAAAAACAACTACCCAAAAAAACAAACAAATTAGGCGCGTTCACACCGGAGTACTTTTCCCGTTTAGTTCCGTTAGTACCCCTGATGTCGCGTTCACACCAAAAAGAGTACATAGTACCGGGAACTTTTACCCCCATTTTCAGTGCCTGCTAGAGAGGTGGTACCAAAAAAGTACCAATTTCTATTGGCAAAGTACTTGGTGTGAAAGCGGCTAGTTTGAAGACTCATTTTGTACAAACTGAACATAAGATAGATAACTAAATACTTTATTTATCTGAATTTGGGAAATTATTTGGTTACAGAAGAAGCATCAGTGTGTTCAGACATCGAATAAAATACTACTAAAATGGAATACAGAATTAACAACTACAAATAAAAAATATTATATCAAATATAAACGGTATCTGACATCTCCTCACCTTTCTTTATCAATTTCTATGATATCAGAGTCAGACTTGGATGTTCCCTTCTCCTGCTTATCCAGCCAGTCAGAGACGGCCTTCAGGGCGCGCTCTGTGTGGGAGACCATGTTCTGAACGCTCTCCAGCTCCTCCTGCGTCGGGTAGATCACAGAGTGTTTGGCCATGACGTGTCGGTCGTCGTTCATGAAGACGCGCATCGACCGGTGGCGCATGGGAGGAGGCTACAGGGGGGGCGGGGGGAGACACAGGAACGTTAATGAGGAAGAAACAGCAGAGAGGTAGTGCTGTGACCGGATTATTTTGACTGATAATGCAACTGGGATATGATTCCAGATATTTGAGGGACACATATTGGAAACACCATTTACATTAAAAAATATATTTAAATGATCATGGTGCCACTTGTATGGCTGCTGAATTTTTGTTTGTTGTAGTATATGGAGCTTTTAATGTCTTCTTTAACAACAAAAAACACACTATAAAAAGTCACAAGTATTTTTTGTCAAATGTACAAGACAATAAAAAAAAAATAGTCAAGAAAAAAAAAAAAAATCTCAGTGTGATTTTTTAGTCAAGTCTGTAGAATACGGTTCATAGGCTTGAACTTCTCTGCAACACATTACTAAATTAAGAAATATATTCTTATAATATTGCACTTATCAATTCTGCAGTTTTGATAACAGTTTGATTAATTTTGCAGCAATACTAAAAAAAAAAAAAACATAATTTATACAACAGAGACTGGTCTCACAAAAGGAGGATTACTGAGCTGCTGGACCTGAACCATAAAACACTGAGCAGCTTGAAAATGTTCCAGGTTTTATTGAGAAATGTTATTCAACTAGCTTCATGAATTCTGCTTAACTTTAATCTTTGTCAACCTTGAAAATGAATCTCTGTCACTGATGTTATTATTTATTTAAAAATGCATAATAAGGTCTCATGTAGTCCTAGCTTCTAGCACCAGTGATTACACAAGCCAGTGTCTACGCAGCCATTCAGATTTAATTTAGAGAGGAGCGCTGATGTGGAAGCTGCAGCATGTGTTCCAAAAGCCCCGGGCAGAGCAAGCTGACCGAGCGCTGGCAGTGGCACCAGTCCTGTGACTCAAATTAGACGCGACACATTTATTTGTCACGTTAGGAGGAATATTTATTGTCCTGTGCTTTGGCTGCATGGCTATTGAGAGGCATAGAAACAACCATGAAAGTGATGCATAGATTTGCATTAAATACAGACTGAAATGAAGTGATTACCATTGTTGGTCTCGAGGCCGTGGTGACTCCTATATCCAGTGAATGACTGTGTTAAAAAATGTGTTCTTGGCAGCAGATGTTGCAGTCCGTCTGTACAGGGGGGATACACATGAATACATTTCAACATTAATAAAAAAAAGGCAGAAATAAAATGGGAAAATCTTCAACAAGCTGGAAATGAAATGCATCCACTAAAGTCAGAATGGCAGGCACACATTCAAATACACTTCCGTTTATATAGAAAATGTATGTGGACAGGATGAAACACTGCACTCTGAAAAGACTCTCTTTCATCTATCAGTGTAAAGAAAGTTGTTAGCAGCTGGAGAAACAAAAGAGAATTGTTGGCACAGCAGTAAATGCCTCAGGGATTAAACACAACACAGCCCTGCTTGCCCAGGCAGAAATGCAGCTAGTTGTAATAAACACAGGCAACTTCATGTGTGCTTGAGTGAAAAAATTATTGGCCAACAAACACTTGGCTGAGTTATTAACTAATTAGTTTAGCTCCACAAAGAGTCATGCAAAAGTACCACTGAATCAATTCACAAGATGTGCACCTATTTTACTGTGAAATAAGTAATTGAGCAGGAAGAAAAATGTTAGCTTATAGACTAAGGAAATCGACCAAAATACTAAGTTAATTGTTCTACCAAGATCTGGAAGCAATGGAGCTAACATGATCATTTTTTTCATAACGGGCAATGCTACCCGCCATGATTGATCGTTGAGTAGAGGTCAACCAATGTTCCTTCATGGATGACTGGATATTCGTCTGTGATGAAGCATCAAATGATGCATGCGTGACCTCTACTGTGTAGCAACAATAATAGGATGTGATCATGAGGGGTAGGGTAAAATCTGTAGGATCCACATCCTTTTTCAATCGTGACACACCCACAGTGCTGACATGCTCCAGTGCAAGCTTGTTTGGAGATGATTTACAGACTTATTCGGATTCTTTATTTACTGGTTGGAGCAAAGACATGGGGGTCAAAGTAGGGCTGCTAAATAGCAATATCAGGAAATTAGAAAATATATAGTAATATTGTTGCCTTTTCTTTTTTTTATGAGCTGCGTTTACAGTAACATCATGTAATTTCCTAAACATAACAGATTTGTAGAGTTTTTACTATCTACAATTAACAAATTAGTCAATAAATCCACTTTAATGATGATTATTCACCCCATTTAAATTGTCTAAATATTGTGAAAGCATCAATTTGGAACCCAAAAACAAACTGTTCGAGATATTACTTATTGTCTTTAATGTTAAATCGTTTTTGTTTTTTTTTATTATTTGTATATTAACCCATTTCTTACAGTTATATTCTCCTTTTATAATTCTTGATCTTCTCCTACAGCCTATTTCCTTATGTTGTGTTCATGTTTGCAGCACCAAACACCAAAGCAAATATCCTGGCAATAAACTCGAAATCTGATCTTCACCAATGCCAGCTTACAATATCAATGTCGACTTATCGGATCCAAAATATCATGATGTTATTGTGATACCTCTAGTTTAAATTACAACCAGCACAAACACTACCCATTTATTTGTGTTTCATTCAACAAGTCACTGACGTGTGGCACTGCAAGCTACCGTTACACCTGTTAAACCTGCATTGACACAACATCTTTCTACCAGCATGAAGCGTGCGTTATGAAGAAGAAACCCAGCAGTTATTGGAACCAGAACCAGACGCAGCTTCATCATCAGGGGAATTTAAAAACAGACGCCATTTTATTTCAGAACGCAACCCCCAACTGAAAAAAACGGTTCCTCCATCGTTTGAAGCGACGTGACGACATGCTCACAGAACCACAAAAACATCACCTACCTACCAAGCTTGACAACTAAATAGCAGTGCAAACACACAAGGGGGATTTTTTCTGTGTTTAGATATTATGTTGTTGCCTATCAAGACACCAAAATGGTCGAGGAGACCCCATAGTTAGCCGTTAGCTTGTTAGCTTAGCCGAACAAAGCCGAACGTATCACTTCATAAAGCGCATATAAACTAACACTGTATTAAACAGTAACATGCTTCGTTAGTTCTCTTGGAGTTCAGCGACTAATAAACACCAATTCCATTCATAATAAGGGCTACAAATTGTGTTTTTTTTCTCACTTACCGTGGTGTCGTTGCTGCTAATAGACGGCTGCTCCGGTCTAGGGTCTCGGCAGCAGGAGTATAAAATGGACACGCCCACGATCTCAAAAGGAACAACGCTCATTGGTCAGATATTCCATCTGACGGCGATGTTAACCAATCAGGCTAAAGGAAGGTGGCTGGCTAGTAATGGTCGTCCATCCAACACCGGGCTAATTCATTCAATGTTCTTTTTATTTATTTTTTAAAACATAAAAGTATAATCTTATTTCCTTCACCTGTCGAGCATTATTGTGGGAATTCTCCAGTTTATTTAGCCACCAAAATATTGGTACTCATTCTGAATGTCATAGTTAGCTTGTGGTTCTCTGAAAAACACTTTTAGATAGATAGATAGATAGATCGTACTTTATTGATCCCAAATTGGGAAATTGTTTTTGTTACAGCAGCATAAAAGGCATTTTACAATAAAACAAAATATACAAGAATAGAAATAAAATAAAATAAAATATAAAATAAAATATAAAATATACATGTCAAAATACAAAATAGAAAATATACATACAGATATTATATATATATATATATATATATATATATACACAAATATACAAATATATATATATTCAAAATATATGGAATTATGGAGTATTAAATATGAAACAGATTATGTGTGAGTAAAATGTACAAGGTGGTTTTATTTCTAGAGAAACTATGGAGCAGAGAGTTCTCTTCCAGCCAGAGGTGATTTGTTGTACAGAGTTATTGCAGTGGGCAGGAATGTTTTCCAGTATCTGTCCTTGAGACAGGGGAGCTGCAGCAGTCTGTTGGTTTTGTGTTCATTGTCTTGAAAGTGATAAAAAAAAAAATTGATCCTAATCCTGAACAAATATGCCTCGTGTGTGACTCCATGGACCCTCTACAGTTTGCTTACCAGGAAAACATTGGTGTAGAGGATGCTATCATCTACATGCTCCAGAGAGCCACACAGCTGGAGGAGCCGCACAGCTCACTAAGAATTCTGTTCTTCGACTTCTCCAGCGCCTTCAACACGATCCAGCCACACCTGCTAGCTGAGAAGCTGTCAGTGACGCAGGTGGATCACAGCATGGTGGCCTGGATCACAGACTACCTCACCAGCAGACCTCAGTATGGCAGACTGCAGGGCAGCGTGTCTGATGTGCTGCTGAGCAACACCGGAGCCCCCCAAGGAACTGTGCTGTCACCATTCCTGTTCACCCTCTACACCTCCGACTTCCGCTTCAACTCCGGCTCATGCCATCTACAGAAGTTCTCTGACGACTCCTTCATTGTCAGCTGCATCACAGATGACAATGAGGAGGAGTACAGGGCCCTGGTTGAGAACTTCGTAGGCTGGTGTGACAACAATCACCTCCAGCTCAACATCAGCAAGACTAAGGAGCTGGTGGTGGGCTTCAGGCGGAGCAGGAAGAGGCCTCTGACCCCCATCACCATCAGGGGGAAGGATGTGGAGGTGGTGAACAGCTACAAGTTCCTGGGAGTGCACTTAAACAATAAACTGGACTGGACAGACAACACTGATGTTCTCTTCAGGAAGGGACAGAGCAAGCTGTTCTTCCTGAGGAGGCTCAGGTCATTCAATGTGTGCACGAGGCTGCTGCAGATGTTCTATCTGTGGTGGCCAGTGTGCTCTTCTTTGCCGTGGTGTGCTGGGGTGGAAACACAAACACTAGGGACACTGGCAGGCTGAACAAGCTCGTGAGGAAGGCTAGCTCTGTAGTGGGAGTACAACTGGACAATCTGGAGGAGGTGGCAGAGGGGAGGACGAGGAGGAAGCTCGACAGCATCCTAGAGAACCCCTCCCACCCACTCCATGCAGAGCTAGTGAAGATGAGGAGTACGTTCAGCCACAGACTCATCCCTCCACAACAACGCACCAAGCGCCTCGGACAGTCCTTTGTGCCTGTAGCCATCAGGCTGCACAACAAGGGGTCAATAATGAAAAATAAATAAAATAAAATCACTGGACATAAATATACACTGTTTCCACAACCCATGTTAATATATTAGTAGTAGACCAAATATGTAGATAGATATGTCACTATGTACAGATGTCCATTTTCACTTTTCACTTGTCACTTTAACTCATTCTATACTTCATAACTTAGATGACCAAATATGTATATATGCTGACAGTTATTTTACTCTTATTTTTACTCATCTCCTATTTCATAGTATTTTATTATTATTTTCATTATTATTTTCATTATTTTCTTGATTTTATTTTTGATTTTATTAATCTGCGTGAATCTTTGCTGTCCTGTTTTTTCACGCTTACCCTGTTGCTGCTTGTACAACTGAATTTCCCCACGGGGATTAATAAAGGTCCATCTTATCTTATCTTATCTTAAAATAAGTTAGTATAAAGTTTATACTAACTTATTTTTACATAATAACAAGAAATTAAGTCATCGTTTGCAATAATAAGTCTTTTTTTTAAGATACTCTTTTGAGATTTTACATAATTTTTATTAAATCATTTTTCGAATGTTTCTTCTTATTATTATTATTATTATTATGACTTACAGTATCTTATTTTCCATAATATATTGGCAGAAAGGGACTCCCACAGAATGAGTGCCATGCTTTATTATTCAATCAGAAGATAGTTGAAGCTATGTCATCAATTATAGACCAGTTGAAAATGAAACATTAGCAGATAACAATTTATTATTCAATTTAACATTCCCTTTTTGATAACAACATCACATTTAATTAGCTTTTGCAACAAATAGCTTCACTTCAGTCCCCAGAAACTTGGGGGAAATACTGTCGACACATTTACAAACATACAAATAACAGTCACACATTCACATTCATGTCACAGCATAAAATTAGACACATACATGGTGTTTTTTCACATCTTCAAGCTGAGGTAAATGCACAGCCTTTTCTTTGGCTCTCTTATGTGAGCATTTATAAAAGTCATTTACATTGTGTCAGAGAACTAAACGAACAAACCCTTTGAGTTGAGATGTTTGCTTTATGACTAGATACAGTCTTCACTTTAGCAACAAGTTAGCATATTTTACTCCAACCAACGTAATCTCTTTTTATTATTTACATATGCTCGTGTATAGGACAGACTGCCATGCAAACATGTCTAGTATACGGACCATCAGAAACAGATCATCCAATAAAAAGTAGATGACACATCCCGCTTTGTCCAAGCTGGGGAGCTTCCACAGTTTTGTGTTTAAACTTCAGTTTTAGGGCAGAAGTGCGATTATTTAGCTTAGCGTAGTCATCTTAACTTGCAAAAGACACCTTTTTTAGGCTTTTTAAAATAAACTGTTACTCAAATTAATACTTTTCCAGGCAAGAATATAACCATTCAGATTCCCAACATGTGATTAGTTTATCCAAATAATGCATATTACAGTATTTGCGCAGATGTTTTGGGGTTTTATAATTTCTCTTACTGCCATAAGGGGTAGACGCAGGTCCACACACTAAGTTAACCATAGGGTATTAAATAAGAAATGATAATTTACATTATGAATCGCCAAATTGCCGATAGATAGCTAGTTAGATATATAGCTAACGTTCACTAGCTAGCTTGTTAGGAAGTTAGCTAACGTTTGCTAGTAAGCATGCTAAAGAGATTACTAATGTTCACTAGCTAGCTAACTAGCAAACTGACATGTTCATTATTTTGAGATACTACATAATTTATAATCTTAAATCTTCAATCATAATAATGACCCAATCATCACATGTTTTTATAAACTTCCAGACTTTGGACGTTCGTCTACCCTTCTGGTGTTGAGAGTTATTACAAAAACAATGTCAACATTTGCTTTTTTATGGAGTCTGACAGGCTGGTGTGCTTCGGTTTTCCTTAGTTCCTCATAGGAGCCATTTACACCAAGAAAACACTACAGAGTTATTAAAAATGTCCTCATAGATTTCTGGACATTTGTAATCCTGCCAGCCACTTATAGCTGATAGTTGTGGTACTATAAACCATTAAATCGCCGCTCTCTAGCTGTAAATGTTCCCAAATATAATTGACTTTTTACAAAACTGCTAGTAGAACTAACACATTTGCATTCAAACAGGAAGGGGTAAAAGGTGCTGGGCTACATGAGGTGAAGAAGTCCATTTAAATGTTATTAACGCTGCTTTTCTCTGAGGTCTGGAAGGAGCTGATGTCCCAGCGAACAGAGCGGAAAGTGCTCCCCTTGAAACTGGCCCGTCTTTTTGTGATTCGGTAGATTTTCCTGAGGACGGCGCGTCGCAGCAGGATGTAAACCCACGGGTCCAGGATCTGGTTACAGGTCGCCATCCTGACCCCGGTCACCATCAGCCCCCTAAAAGTGTCTCTATCACTGTCCAACATGCCACTGTACGACTTGGTGGCTGACATCAGTGCAAAAACCTTTAAAGAAACAATTAAAGAAGTTAAGGCCTCATCTTGCACCATCTTTTAAACAAATACTTAGGTATTAAGTCTGTTTAAACATGATTACAGCAAATGCTTTAACCTCTTTTATCTCAATCTTTATTCATAACAAACCCAGATAACTTTTTGGTGAATTTGTTTGAAATGTATGGAAGCCCATAGTAGACTTTATTTAAATGATAATGTAAACCCAAAAATGAAAATGTAATTCCACAGAACCATTCAAACTAAACATATATGTATATGTTTTTTGAGTAAACATTGATACAAAAAAAAGTGATTATGCAATAATCCAATTCTTTGTATGTGTGTTTTTATGAAAAAATGAAGACTTTCAATTTTCAAAGTTTGCCGTACATTGGACAATGTTCAAATGTTTGTTCAAATTGAAAATGCAATGAATTAAAAATGAAAATGCAATGTCAAAAATGTGACCTGATTGTTAATGTATTCATACAGGTAAAACTATTCGGGGACATATGAATTCAAATGAACATCTGTATCTACTATCTCAACACATAATATTCATAGAACGTTTATTTATACTTGACCAATCATTAAGATAGGCTTTCCTAAATATAAAAATATAATGTTGCCTCTATGCAACAACGATGTATGATTTGAAATATCAGACACATGTTGACATTTAGTCATCTACAAATATGCTTTTTAAGATTGAATGAAGTTGTTTTAGCAGTCACTCACCAGCAGAGGGCTCCAACAGATGCAGGAGGTGACCATGATGCCCACAAGCTGCACCACCATCTCCGTGTCCTGAGACCCTGCGGAGCTGCGCTGGGAGCAGGGCTTTTTCTTTTTTAGCCGAGCCCTCACCAGCGTGATCCCACTGATGGTGTTGCACACAAAGGCCGAGGCCAAAGAGCTCAACGCCAGTCCAGAAAACACCATCACGAAGGCCAGATCCGTGTCTCTAGTGCCTTCCACCACCCTGATAAAGCACCACGTCCATGGGTACTGGTAAGTGTAGGCCCCAAGGCTGAAGTAAGGTAGGAGGGCCACACATAAAGCTAGCAGCCAAATCAAGGCGAGTGCCATTTTAGTCCGAGCTGTTGTGACTAAACGAGCGTGAAGCAAAGGCTTGGTGACGCCAAGGCATCGCTCGGCAGCCATAGCACACCCCAGAAAAAGGGGGCAGAGTCCAAAGAACACCATGCAACCACCGAGAAACAAACACGACGCATCTGGGTTCTCCGGGTCACCTCGAAATGTGGAAACAGAATCATCTGTGGACCCCTGAGTGTGCACCGAGTACCTCCTCAGCACCAGAGCTCCAGGGATCACATGTCCTGCTAAATCGGTCGCTATCAATGAGCTCGCTAAGAGTAGAAAAGTGGCCTTTGACCGCCGCCGGTAGCGACTGTAAGCCTTGGCGAGGATGATGAGGGCCACCACGTTGAAGAGGATGCCCAGAGTCATGCTGAGGCCGGCGGCTGTGGGGTTGTTAGCTGATCCGGTGGCGTTGCTTGATACAGCCTCCACCTCTGTCTCCTGCACCGTGGGGGTCTGGTTGGAACGGGAGAAGGGGGCGATAACGCCGGAGGAGTTGTAGTGCTGCATGGCCAGCATCACCGTTTCGTTGTCGGCCTAATGTGGTTCCTCTGGGTGAGAAGACACTGGAAAGGAAAAGAGACTGGGTCAGTGTGCTAAAGATAAGATAAGATCAGATAACAAGTACTTTATTGATCCCAAGTTGGGACATTTTTATGTTGCAGCAGCATAAAAAGACAAAACTAAAGCTGAAGTTCACATGAGAAATGAGAAATACAAAATTCCTATAGCCTGCAGTGCTTTTCATCAATATATAGTGGGTTGGTGTGAGTTATAGTGTTGGACATTTCAGCATTAAAGACATGCCTTCTCTCCAAAAGATTGCTTTGGGGTTGTGATGCTCATAGCGCCCAAAACACACATTTGAAAAGCATCAAACTGCATCTCCAACATGATCTTTTGGTGTAACAACACATAATGCAACCTGTCAGTCCTCTCATTAATGAAGGTTTTTCAAATCTACATTATCCTTTCAGAAACAAGTCCACTTTTGGCAGCCTGAAATTGGGGGAAATGTGAATAAAATGATGCACAATCAGGTACCATATTTGCCTCTGATAGAATGATGCAGCTGGCTGAAACTTAAAGGGTAAGTTCAGTCACAAACATGTGCTTAAAACATTTGTAACAGTCGTGTCTTTTTCCAGAAAGGATGCGGTGCAAGGTAATCAGACCTTGTTGTGAAGCAAACTACACTTCATTTTATAATGTATCACTGCACAGCAGAAAGGGTCCATCTCCTCCAGGACAAGAGGCTCTCCTAACTTTACGGACGTCATTAGTGTTAACATTTGTCAACGTGTACATCCTTGAGTGCAAGCTTTCTTCGGCACACTGATACGATTGGCAGGTGAAGTTCGGCAGGAAAGTATAGTTCCTATACGTAAAACAGCTCACAACAAGGTCTGTGGATTATCTGAAGTATGGTCATGATTTCTGCAAAGAGACATTTTTGTCGAGTTTTTTAAAGATCTTTTTTTTTGTCTTTTTGAGCAGCAGAAGTCGAGTGCCATCTAGAATGTACAAATATGAGAGTGTCAGATTTTTCAGACTGTAAAGATAATAGAAGATTCCAAAAGTGTATGTGCTAAAAGGGTTTTAATTTAATCACATTTCAAAACTGTTTTGTATTATAAGATAAATACATGTATTGTGCTAAAATCTTAAGGCAATAACACCCCTTCAATGTTACTGCATGGGATATCTATCATAGATGTGAAATAATTCATATTTAATATTTAGTTTAAATTATAATCGAGGATATGCAGATATGCAGATATGCAGATATCTCTACGTCCCTTTTAAAACACACTCTCCCTTTCATGCCCTTATAATCTTTATGAAGTCTCTTAAAGGTTATCAGATATTATATTTATGTCACACTGGGGGAAAACCCCGAGGCAGAATAACTTGACGTTTAAACGCAACAAATGAGTCGTCAGCCGTCTCTGCATACAGCCTCATTCTTCTTTTTACACGAGACCACAACCCGGGACGTCTGAACAAGTTCTGACAGTTTCTGTTGACACTGAAAGCTCCTGCACACATTCCTGTAAAAGTGCTGTTATCATGCAGCAGAAGTAGCAGCAGCAGTAATAACATCCATTAAATCATTACATCCATACGGTATGCATGTATACTATGTATGTACTGTAACTTCTTTAAAGTGGTTTTATATGGTACTGTGTTTCATATTTCTATTTTTAGTTTTGGCTGAATATATTTGTTTCTATTCCCAAACATGATTTCTTTCATGCCCTTCATTTTCCTATCTTTTTTTATATGTTTTGGATTTTGTTTATTATTTGGAACATGTATTTTTTAAAAAGCACATAATAATAATGATAGAGAGAATTATAACTTATAACAGCCATACATTTCCTTTCTTACATTTGATATGAGGGCGTTTCAATTAATTAATTAATTTTTATGCTTTAAAGTGGATGGTTTTCCAATCATTTCAATCAATCTAAAATATAAAAGGAACTGTAAAATAGGACTTTTAACCAAAATGTAACTTAAAGTAATCATACCTCAGGACTACTTTTCCTTTACATTAAATAAAATATATTTAACTTACCTTTTAAATAATAAATCCATGGAGATGATCAGGATCACTCTGACAATAACTCATAACTGAATTTAGCAGAAATTAATCCAGGTTGTTTTCTTGTTGGTGTCTCTTTGTGTCGTTCCAGAGTCAGAGGACTTCTTCACCTGCAGTGTTTCCTCATTCTGCACGCTGTAGGAACTCCTCTGAGAACAAGCTGCTCTCTGTAACGTTGCACATGAAGCATGTCCTCTGTGGCTCTGACTGCAAGCTGCTTTTATACGGCCGGCTGCAGTGAGATCACACTTCCTCTGGGTGTCTCAGACTGTAGAAACACAGCAACGTCCTCCCATAGTGAAGCAGTCAGTCAGAGGAATCTCACAGACGTTTATGCATGGCTGAATTCATCCCCATTAATATTTCATAGTGTAATTTGTGTTGCATGTTTTGAAAAAAGCTTGCATCAAAATATGACATGAACTGAAGTTTACAAAAATGGCATATTTCCACAATAAGAAAACACAATACAACTGTATATACGATTTTTCGGACCTTAAAGATATTAGAGGATTCAAAAGGGTATGTGCTAAAAGGGTTTTCATTTAATCACATTTCAAAAGTATGTTGTATTATAAGATAAATACATGTATTTTGCTAACATCCTAAGGCAAAGACACCGTATTCAATGCTACTGCATGGAGGGATATCTATCATAAATGTGAAATAAAGGAAGTTCATTTCAAGTTAATATAATATTTCATAGTGTAATTTGTGAAAGATGTTTTGAAAAAAGCTTAAATCAAAATATGACATGAAGTAAAGTTTACAAAAATTGTAAATGTTATATGTAAATATTTCCTGCACCAGTATTCCTATTGCACCTTTTGTATGTCTTATTCTCTTTTTGTTTGGTATATGTGCATTGTTGGATGACATTGCGACTTAAAGAGGCCCAATTATGCTTTTTGGTGTTTTCCCTTCCTTTCCTCTAGTGTGTTATATAGGTTTTAGTGCATGTAAATGGTCTGCAAAGGCTAAAATACCTGTGTTCCCTTCAGAGGGAGTTTCTCTTGCCCTTCTATTGGCTAGCGCTCCAACACATTGTACGTGATAGGCTAAGGGGCGGGACATCTCTAAGCGGTGGACCAATCACAACAGAGCCGGCCAGCTAACCAATCAGAGCAGACTGGGCTCTGGTTTCAGACAGAGGGTGAAAAGAGGTGCTGCAGCACAGGCAGTATGAGAATACACCTGAACATCAGCAGGAGAGGACTCTTTAAAGTAGAGACACTACATACTGATATACACCTGAAGATCATCAGGAGAGGACTCTTTAAAGTAGAGACACTACATACTGATATACACCTGAACATCAGCAGGAGAGGACTCTTTAAAGTAGAGAGACTACATACTGATATACACCTGAACATCAGCAGGAGAGGACTCTTTAAAGTAGAGACACTACATACTGATATACACCTGAACATCAGCAGGAGAGGACTCTTTAAAGTAGAGACACTACATACTGATATACACCTGAACATCAGCAGGAGAGGACTCTTTAAAGTAGAGACACTACATACTGATATACACCTGAACATCAGCAGGAGAGGACTCTTTAAAGTAGAGACACTACATACTGATATACACCTGAACATCAGCAGGAGAGGACTCTTTAAAGTAGAGACACTACACACTGATATACACCTGAACATCAGCAGGAGAGGACTCTTTAAAGTAGAGACACTACACACTGATATACACCTGCACATCAGCAGAATAGGGCCCCTTGAAGATTTGTATTGCTAAAACAACGCTAGCTCTTGAGCACGAGACACATTTGCTTATGAATGCTTTGAATATTTACAGATGACTCACCCTTTACTCCACCTCACCAAACAATTATGAGGCATTAATATTAATGACAACAACAACCATCAGAAATGCATGCCTGCTCCCTGAGGCTGCAGGAAAAAGCTCCTTTCAAGTAAAACTTTTAGAAGCATTGTTGCAGTTTTTGATTAAACGCATGACTTCATATCGCAGCAGCTTGAACAAAAATTGATTGCAGTAAATGTATTATTAATGCCAGATTACTCTCTTTAAAGTCCCAGCTGGCTGAATTGACTTCAGGTGGTATTGAGATCGTTTTTGTAAATATATTCTGTTCCAGTGCGAAATCTACATCTTACATTCTTGCTTTTACAGCTTTAAAGAGACTTATCTTGTGTTTGTTCTTCAGATATTAAATCCCTCCCTTCTGTTGTACAGAGCTTTATCTGAACAACCTCAACATCCCTGTGGTCAGATCACATCGATGCAAACCAGCTGTGCTCTCGCCTCTACAAACTGTGCTGTCACAGTCTGAGCAGCTGCACTGGAAATGCTTTCCCAGTTTTCAAAGAATACTGGCCAAGATTTAACGCTCCGAGCCTCGAGTAAGATAGACTTTAAAGGTCCCCTATTATACTGTTTTTCATCAATATATTATAGGTCTCAGATATATACAAAACATGTCTCTGAAGTGTTTGGCTCCAAACACCAAACAGATCATTGCAGCGTCCCATAATCCCCTCTGTTTCAGCCTTGTTTCAAAAGTGCTGATTCTCTCTGTCATCTGTCTGATGAAAATAAGGAGCCACTTCCCACGCCCCTCTGATGCCCCTTTCACACCAACGCGGTTCCTGTTCTAGCTCTGTGCTTGCGCTCTTCTGGTTCGGAACCGATTCTTCTTTTCAGCCCCCGTTTTGTTCACACCGCCCAGAGCCCGACTGGTGCTCCCGCGGCTGCGTCATGACTTCACCGTTTACGTCGGATCACGTTTCTCCCCGACGCCGCTCACAACAACAACAACAATGGGGGACTGCGTCGGGTCGATGGCCGTGTTGCTTTTAATCATACGAAGACAGATTACATTAAATAACGACTTCTCTAACCTTATACTTTTCTCCAGAGAGCCGGGGTTCATTGTTTATTAATGTGTTTCAGCGGCATTTACCGACCGCTGCAGTGCTGCCCGCTGTTTGGCATCACAACGCTGTTCTTTGATATAAAATGGGTGATGTTAGCATAGCAACCAAGGCTAAACTGATTGCTATCCTTGTTGCTATCCTATTGTGGCATAAGCCGTTTTCTACAGGCACATTTTACCGGCATGTTTTTCATTATGATTCTACTTGTGATAGTCGGATATGACAACCTGTGCAGCCCATGTATTGATTCCATCCGATAGCTGCTATAATACAAAACAAAACATCTGCCTGCTCTCCACAATGATCAATGACAGCTAACGGATGGTCAAAGTAAGGTACAAATAAACAGAATCACACGAAGCCTGGTTAGTGTTGCCTGACTTTATAAAGTGTGTTTTTTTACAAGTGTGTGGTTGCGTTCTAGTCACTTTGCTCAGCGCTACTGCTTGTTACAACTTTTATTTGCCGTACTACTCGCCATAAACTGTTGCTCAGGTTGATCCCGCCCCTGCCCCTGCCCCCGCCTCCGACATAAGCGTGAGGTATGCGGTTCTTGCTTCTAGACCGACAATTTTTTGGAGCTTGGTAAGAACCGGTTTTCTGGAAAAAGAGCCGGCTCCGCTGTGGTGTGAACAGGAAAAAACTGCTTATCAGGCTCTAGCTCCGAACCGGCCCTGGAACCGCGATGGTGTGAAAGGGGCATCAGAAAGATATTTGGTTGAAAAGAACGCAATGGTGCTCTAGGAGGAGATTCAGGTGATAAGGTGGGGGTGGGGGGGTACCTTGGTTGGTGATTGGCTAATGGTTACACAAGCCAAAAAATCGTTATGACATCATCAAGTGGCCAAAATCTGATCAGCTCATTTTCAGACAGGTTTTTATATAAATGGATCAGGACAAAAAGAGAGAGAATCTTTTCTCCTGAAACTTTCAGAATCTCTTTACACAGAGGGGACACATGTTGATGTAGAAGAGACATGAAGAAGAGGGGACACATGTTGATGTAGAAGAGACATGAAGAAGAGGGGACACATGTTGATGTATAAAAGACATGAACAAGTGGATTTTGCATAATAGGTGACCTTTAAGGTGGGGATACCTTCAAAGCGACAGGTCCTTACCACGGTGTTTTCTGGCTTGGGTATTGCCCGTGTTTTCGTGTAAGAACTTTAATCTTCTTTTGGTGTTTTTGTCCTTTTTTTAAAAGTATAGAATAGACTAGCCTAGCAAAGTCTTGTTCAGCTCAGTTGTACTTGGCTCAACATTCTTGTGTCACTTCTGGTAACTGGTAAAAAATAATATGGCAACGGCCAAAAAGCCAAATTCAAGGCTTGGAAATCTATATGGTTCACCTTTGAGTCCAAATGGACGTTTGTGCCAACTTTGACAATAATTACCTCAAGGAAAAACAGTGGTGGAGTACTGACAAACACACAATTAAACCTAACCCTCAAACTTTATGCGACCATGAAGGCTTAACAAATCCTGTATTATTTTGTGATTATCTCAAAGAATGACTATACAATCCACAAACACTGCAGTGTTGTACAATGAAAGGAATCTGGAGCTTCTATCATCACCAGTCTATCATATCTCTGAAATTCCTCCTCCAGCAAGGTCTTCTTGTTTCACTGTCAGCTTATGTCAAACAGTCGAAGGACCCTTCTTTAAAATGATGTGCTAATGTATACAATACACCCCCTTGTTCATACATATACTGCAGCTGTGTGTGGAAAAATGTCCCCTTCGACAGGCAGTGCAGTGAGGCATGAAATGCATGAAGATAGTTGCTTTAATAATGTGTTGTAAAAGCACACGCCTGAGTCTAAATAAAACATGGCCTGTGCATGTCAGTGCAGGTAAGGCTTGAAAAAGAATCACACGGAAGGTGAATAGACACAGGTGGAGCTGCATCAGTATTATCCGGGGTTAATGTGTCCATGTCTGATTTGCTGAGTGATACAATCTGACGTAAACACCTGAGACAAACTAAACGTTAACGGTAAGGGGACGGCACCGGAGAGCGATCTGCCAAAAGGACGGACATCGGGGTTAGGAGGCAGGAAGCAAGTCTGTTTGTTCTTAAATTTGTTCCTGATTAAAGTTCTAAGAAAGTGTTTTCATGGATTAAAGGGGCCCAATTGAAATCGTAAAGAGGACATATTCTGATAATTTTCATATCAGTATTTAGTGTCTCTTCTTTAAAGAGTCCTCTCCTGCTGATGTTCAGGTGTATATCAGTACTTAGTGTCTCTACTTTAAAGAGTCCTCTCCTGCTG